TCCTAGTAGCATCCTTGCTCCTAGTAGCGATGCCCTTTGTTCCTAGTAGCACCCTTGCTCCTAGTAGCGATGCCCTTTGTTCCTAGTAGCATCCTTGCTCCTAGTAGCGATGTAGAACTTTACACAAATGCTTACGCCACCTAATCTACCGTGGGCCTCCTTGAGGACTGTGGGCAATCCCAACTGGCGAAGGTGAGCCTTCCAAGAAACACCGCTCAAAGCGTTTTGAAGCGTTCTGTAGACCCAATAGTGATGGCATCCAACCATGGATTGCATCTTGTTTTCTTGCATGGCCTCATGTTTTCTTTGCATCTTGTCATTTTCTATTCATTCTTTAGACCTTGGATTTCAACAAAAACATGTCACTGCCAAAACCAAAAGCCGTGGCAGGAATAAATTGAACGTTCAACTACCGTGAAGCTTGTTGTTCCCTCTCACAACTAAACACAGCCTCAATGGAGTGTGGAAGAGCAGCTAGGGCCTCAGTGCCTTCACAGCCGCGTCAAAGTTGGAAAAAACAGACTGAAATGATTGTATGCACTTGTCAGTAGTAGCTTCTTGCTACTAGTAGCGATGCCAGGAGCCCTTAGTAGCGTTCTTGCTGCTATGTTTTTTTTAAGAAACTAGTAGCTACTAGTAGGAATGTAATCGCGATGGCCGCCACTTAATGGCGGCGCATGAACAGGGATTCGTTCGCCTCTGGGCAACACCACCGTCCCCGTGGCCGTCGCGCCACTGCGGGCGAAGTCCTCAGCTTCGACAACTTCATTCGCGGAACAAAAAGCTACTAGGGGCTCCTGGCCTCACTACTAGGAGCAAGGAAGCTACTAGGAACAAAGGGCCTTACTACTAGGAACAAGAAGCTACTAGGGGCTCCTGGCCTCACTACTAGGAGCAAGGAAGCTACTAGGAACAAAGGGCCTTACCACTAGGAACAAGAAGCTACTAGGGGCTCCTGGCATCGCTACTAGGAGCAAGGACGCTACTAGGAACAGAGGGCCTTACTACTAGGAACAAGAAGCTCCTGGCCTTACTACTAGGAGCAAGGGCGCTACTAGGAACAGAGGGCCTTACTACTAGGAACAAGAAGCTACCAGGGGCTCCTGGCCTCACTACTAGGAGCAAGGATGCTACTACGAACAAAGGGCCTTACTACTAGGAACAAAAAGCTACTAGGGGCTCCTGACCTTACTACTAGGAGCAAGGACGCTACTGGGAACAAAGGGCCTTACTACCAGGAACAAAAAGCTACTAGGAGTAGCTAAAATTTGTCAACCTCTCAAGAGCGCCGGGTGGTCGGGAGACATGACTCAGCTGCAGGGGCGCCAGAGCAGCCGCGAGAGATGACTCAGCCGCGAGAGATGACTCATCCGCGTACTAAAGTTGTACTACAAAGTCGCCAGTTCTCATCTTCCAGCTCCACAGATTGCTCCGCGTACTAAAAGTTGCACTACAAAGTCGCCAGTTCTCATCTTCCAGCTCCCCAGATACTCCGCGTACTAGAGTTGTACTACAAAGTCGCCAGTTCTCATCTTGCAGCTCCACAGATTGCTCCGCGTACTAAAGTTGTACTACAAAGTCGCCAGTTCTCATCTTCCAGCTCCCCACATACTCCGCGTACTAAAGTTGTACTACAAAGTCGTTAGTTCTCGTCTCCCAGCTCCACAGATTGCTCCGCGTACTAAAGTTGCACTTCAAAGTCGCCAGTTCTCATCTTCCAGCTCTCCAGATACTCCGCGTACTAGAGTTGTACTACAAAGTCGCCAGTTCTCATCTTGCAGCTCCACAGATTGCTCCGCGTACTAAAGTTGTACTACAAAGTCGCCAGTTCTCATCTTCCAGCTCCCCAGATACTCCGCGTACTAGAGTTGTACTACAAAGTCGCCAGTTCTCATCTTCCAGCTCCCCAGATACTCCGCGTACTAAAGTTGTACTACAAAGTCGCCAGTTCTCAGCTTCCAGCTCCACAGCTTGCTCCGCGTACTAAAGTTGTACTACAAAGTCGCCAGTTCTCATAAGTGCTGTGCCTGCCACGACATCTGCACACGGAGGTTCACAAAGTGCTGTGCCTGCCACGACATCTGCACATTGAGGTTCACAAAGCGCTGCGCCTGCTACGAAGTCTGCACATGGAGGTTCACAAAGTGCTGCGCCTGCCACGAAATCTGCACATGGAGGTTCACAAAGAGCTGTGCCTGCCATGAAATCTGCCCATGGAGGTTCACAAAGTTCTGTGCCTGCCACCAAATCTATACATGGAGGTTCACAAAGTGCCGCGCCTACTACGAAATCTGCACATGGAGGTTCACAAAGTGCTGCGCCTGCTACGAAATCTGCACATGGAGGTTCACAAAGTGCTGTGCCTGCCACGAAATCTGCACTTTGAGGTTCACAAAGCGCTGCGCCTGCCACGAAAAATGCAAGTTGCACATGTGTGAAACGAAGCAGCTGCGAGACTTCCTTCTAAAGGGCAACTTGCAAAGGTATGAACCGAAGCATTTCCGGGACACTTCCATGCAACTTGCAGACAATGGTAGAACAATTAACTAGAGCTAGAGATCAATGGTAGAACAATTAGCTAGAGCTAGAGATCAATGGTAGAACAATTAACTAGAGCTAGAGATCAATGGTAGAACAATGGACTAGAGCTAGAGATCAATGGTAGAACAATTATCTAGAAGTACAGCTAATGTAAATGTTCGTAACACGGAAGTTCCTCTAAACTTCCTTTGACTAGCAAACTACATTAGCATCTGTTAACTTTGTTGTTTTTCGTCCAAGCAACAAGGGTTTTACTCCAAAAAGATATAAGCATCCAGCGCTCGGTCTGTACTCTGCCAACACTCGCTCCACCTCTGAAACACAACACAGTTCCTTTTGCATTCACCAAATGTTGAGCAAAGACACCGAAATGTCTAATATGGTTTGCTACTGGAGGCCATCGCTGGGAAAAAGAACAGGAAGAAGGGGCTTCTTGTTTCTACTAGCTTCTTGTTACTACTAGTAAGGCACCTGTTACTACTAGCGTGGCACTTGTTACTACTAAAATAGTTTGCAAAGACGTGAGTGACCTCCTCCGGGCTTTGGTTGGTGAAAAGCAAGGCCTGAGCGAGAACCGAACGACAGTGCACACGTCCCGGAGCGGAAAATGAAGGCATAGACAGGCTCATCTTCCACGCATCCCAGAAAGAAAACAAGAAACCAACTTCTTTTTCTAAATTTTTTTTGATGAAATATCGCAAACATAGACCCCAAATAGCAATACTGTGGTAGACGGCACCAACACCCCCCAGGCTCCAAAGTGCACACATGCACCCCTTCCTACACTTGAAGTAATGTAAGAACCCCAATAGCTCTCGCTATCTGGGGAGGCATTGTAACTCCAGTGCTTTGCTTCGCTACAAGGAGAACACAGGTTCGACAAACTTGAGAACTGAGGAACGAAAAGCACACAAGAACGAAAGCCAGTAGAATCGAGTGTAAAGGTGAGGGGCAAGCTGCAATTGACGAAGTACAAATATCAGTGGGACCAAAGCCTACAATGTGGGTCACTGCATTTTCCTGAGTGGCCATTACCCTGTCAGCTTGTCAGCTGACTTTCGTAGAAAAGTATCAACCAGCTTTGTTTGATGCCTTTTGAAACAAGTTTCCAGGAAGATGATTCAGAGGAGCCACGGAAACACCACAAGATTGGGGGTTGCTCATCCAATCACAGCAAATTGACTTTAACGAGTAGGAATGGCCTCCAACCTAATAGGAATGGCCTCCAACCCAATAACGATGGCCTCCAACATACTTGCGATGGCCTCCAACCTAATAGTGATGGCCTCCAACCTAATAGGCATGGCCTCCAACCTAATAGTGGCCTCCAACCTAACAGTGATGGCCTCCAAGCTGATAGCAATGGCCTAACAGCGAAGGCATCGTATTTAAGTTTCTTTTCGGCGAAGCGGAAAGTGCCAGTATTAGAATGCCAAGTATTAGTTGGGGGCCATCGCAAGCAGGTTGGAGGCCATTCCCATTAGGTTGGAGGCCATTGCTATTCGGTTGGAGGCCATCGCAAGTAGGTTGGAGGCCATCGCTATGAGGTTGGAGGCCATCGCTGTTTCGAACAATGGCGTTTGCGATGAAACAATTTTGAGGTGTGAGAACAGGAAGAGGATCCTCAAAAAGATGATGCAAGATAAAAGGAGGGCTCAAAAATGCACATGAGGACGATGGTTTCCAACCCAATAGCAAACTATATGAGACCTTTCATCCTTTTCTGTTTCCAACCTAGATAGCCTCCAACCTGATGCTAAGATGCACATGAGGACGATCAAAATGCTACCACACTCTGATCCGACAAAGTCATGTGTGAGAGCAACATCATATTTCTCTATTGAATGATGTACGCAAAGGAGTGAACCCCCAAGTTTCCATCACGCTGTGGAATTCTGATGCTGGCACGCAAAACAAACACGATGCAAGAATCATGCTAAACTTGTTGAGATAAATGCTAACCACTGATGCAGAACTAAAAGCGTAGCGCGCGTAAAAGCGTCGCGGTCACGCTGCACCAAAAGAGCGCACAAAGTGCAAAACGCAACGAGCAACGCTAGGATCCCAGCACAGTGGCCTGAAATCATTTCGGAGATCTTATGTATTCTGTCCTGCCCGAGGCAACATTCTCCATATATTCTTGTGACGGAATCTTAAGTTTCCCTTAGAATCGAACCAAATCAGAAGCGTGAGCTCTCCTGCGTCCTAGCTAGAAGCTAACTTAGCCTAGTAGCTACTTAATTAACTAGGAGAGGGCAAGAAAATAGTTGTTAAACATGTTTAGCCTTTTTCACGCAACACCCGTAGGCATGTTGTAAAACAGATCAAGCTGCGCCTGACACTCGGACTCTGGGCTTGTGCCCAGCGCTGTCTGCATGACCTCGTGATACAAAAGAGAAAAGAACAAAAGGGAGAGAAAAGAAGAAAAGAGAAAAGGGAGACAAGCACAACAGAACCGGCCAAAAGAAAAGGAAGAAAGGAAACAAAGAAGACAATGTTATTTGACCTGCCTTGTTCTTGGCACACACCAGCTTCCCAGGTCTAAGCCGTTTCCTGATTTCCTGGACGCTTTTTTGGCCTCAAAACCTTGCCTCATAGCGGGGGTGTCAAATCTGGATAACCGTGCGAAGCAGTAGGAGCAAGGACGCTACTAGGGGGCTCCTGGCCGTACTACTGGGAGCATTCCTACTACTAGTAACAAGAAGCTACTAGGGGCTCCTGGCATCGCTACTAGTAACAAGGACGCTACTAGGGGCTCCTGGCATCGCTACTAGGAGCAAGGACGCTACTAGGCTTGTGTATGGACCTTGGTGCATTTCGCAAGCACAGTCAGCCTGAAGGACCCTAGAGCAACTCGAGTCGTATCCTACATATGAGCATTTGACGAAAATTCTAATATACATGTACTTTAGTAACGGGCTGCCCGTACTGGTATTGAAATGAGCCAAGCCCTGCAGAACCGATTTGGGCTACCCTATCAGAGAGTGAGTCCAACGCATTGAAGCATAGTAGTCAATCGATATGGGGCCAACAACAAATACTTTTGGCACTGATGACAGACAAGAAGTCTTGTAATTTTTTGGTCTACCACTCATATTCTGGAAGCTTGTCATCCACGCTACTATGATATGTTGTAGCATTTGTTGTTTTTCTTAGTTTTGGAGTTTTGGATGCTGGTCTGTCAAAATTGTTGAGGTTCCCAGCCTCTTGTCTACTTTCCTTTTGGTTTCTAGGGCGAACTCTTGAGTGCAAGCTTCACGAAACCTTACTATAACCCTGGAACTGCTTGCATGAGAACTGTCAGCAAACCCCATCACTAGAGTTCTACGTCCCCGGGTCCACCTCTAGATACACACACATGCAGCGTCAGACAACCATGTCCCTCTTGAATCTTCTTGACAGTTTAGACACGCTCTGGCACGCCTGCTGTGTCAACACAATTGTACCTCGTTCAGGCGCTTTGATTCCGTGCTATACGCATTCTGCCACTCCAACTTTTTTCTTATACATGCCGGCAGTGGCTCTGCAGCCTCCACCGGCCGTGTACGTATATGTGCCGCTGCAAGATCTGATGTTATCTTTTTTCATGGTTGTTGTGTAACAGAGTAACATATTGATGATGACGCAGTTTGCAACTGTATGCTTTGTTTGCTGCTGTGTTTTTTCCGCGAAGTTATGATGCAACTCATGGCGCCTTCCATGACTCATGGAAGGCGCCATTAGTTGCAGGTCCATGACAGACAGCTTCAGCTTGTTTGTGCAGCGCAAGCCACAGGAACGAAACCTCACCAGCAACCAAAAGTTATGGTTCGTTGGTGAAGCTTCATTCCTGTGGCTTGCGTTCACTCATGATCCACTTTGTGCCGCTTGCTCAATGTGCTGCTTGCTCAGAGCAGGGATGAAGACGGCTTTCGTTCCAGCATCCATGTTTTGAAGTCTCCTCCCTTGGATTTGATAAGGATTATGGGTTACTGAACAACATGCCAGGACAGCTTTGTCACCAAAAGCAGATTCCTTTTGCTTTTGGGGAGAAAGCTGTCCCGGGTGTGACTGGTTATTCTTTGCAGAACCTGCCACTAGACCTTTAAAAATACGTGATTGAAGACCGACCAGTTGGGTCATGTTGTCTCAAGGAAGAAGGTGAGCCAGACGACGAAAAGTCTCCTGTACGCAGCTTTGAGACACGTGTTCAATCATAATCCAGCCGGTTCGCAAAGACTTCAGAATCCTCAGCACACCTGGAAGGCTCAAGTACATAATCTAGGTTGCTGCGCATTTGCGGCATTTTCCACATGCTGCCGGCTGTGTATATGGGGGACCATGGTCCACCGTGCCGCTGCAAGATCTGATGTTTTTTTCATGGTTGTTGTGTAACAGAGTAACATATTGATGATGACACCATTTTTGCAAATGCATGCTTTGTTTGCTGCTTGTTTTTGGGCTCCTGGCCGTACTACTAGGAGCATTCCTACTACTAGTAACAAGAAGCTACTAGGGGCTCCTGGCATCGCTACTAGGAACAAGGACGCTACTAGGGGCTCCTGGCATCGCTACTAGAAGCAAGGACGCTATGAAACCTGCATTCTGTCAGGTCGGCGGCTAGGCATAAAAAGAGCCTATGGCCTATGGGCTTTGCTTGTTCAAGTCGGGGCTTTAGTTTTACCACTGACAACCAAGCCAGGCTTCATGCACATGTCCCGTTTCAATGCTTTCCACACGGGGACAAACACTGCCGGTTTGTCAAGGCTTTTGGTTGTGCTAAAGAGTGTATAAAATGTTCACAAATTCAAACCAATTGTGGCGAAGGCCAAGTCGAAGGCACAAATTCAAGCCAGCCGAGGAGGGGTGCGAAACGAGGGAGGACCTTCCCCAACTGTTTTAACGGCGATAAAGGAGCTCCACATACCAAATGCCCTTGTTACTAGTAGCTGCTAGTAACAGGTGCATCGCTACTAGTAGCAAGAAGCTATTAGTAACAAGGGGTTATGAGGGGAGACCAGACAGCACATTGTCACTTTCATGAGCGCATATTGGGACCTCTCAGGCAAATCATAGGTTTGAGGCCATCGCTATGAGGTTGGAGGCCATTCCTATTAGTATCTCAAAAGAATAATTGAATACGAATTCTAATTCTTGCTCCTAATAGGAAACATTGTTACTAGTAGTAAGGCCAGGAGCCCCTAGTAGCGTCCTTGCTCCTAGTAGCGATGCCAGGAGCCCCTAGTAGCTTCTTGTTACTAGTAGCGATGCCAGGAGCCCCTAGTAGCTTCTTGTTACTAGTAGTATCTAGAAACCCAAGTTACAAAGCAGTCTCTTTTCTTTTTCAGACATGGTTAACGCTTGGTCCTGCGTTGCAGCAGTTGGCGAATCAACAAGAACGAATTGATGTTGAGGTAGCTAGATGCACATTCTTCCTCAGGCCTCACCCAATCCAGTGTCCCGCTATGCCTAGCCCGAAACCAAACCCAAGTAGTTTATCCGCAGATCCCAAATTTGATCCGTTGCAAACAAATGAGCCGTGGAATGTTTGAACCGTCTACAAATAAGTTGAAGGTCATCGCTACTAGGGAGAAACAACACAGCCTTTCGCAAGCACCCAAACATCCATCCCAAACACCAAGTAGTGGTGGTAAAGTAACGAGTAGTGTGGAAGCTGAAAGAAAGTCCCTTGCTTACGGTTAAAGTCGTAAAAAGTCCTTTTGAAGTGCAGAGAGCAAAAGGGCGTTTTTACAAAACATTCTGAAAGAAAGGCTACTTGGCACTCAAGGTCCTGCATGAACTGATTCCGCTCATTCTCAATGGAAACCAGGAAGACACGTGCGAACTTTCCGCAAGACCTGCGCTTCGTGTTCCCAAACACGTTTTTGTTGCAGCAGACTCTGTCGTCACAAACGTGGGAACATCTTGGCTGCAGACTCTCGGATATCTTCAATGAGGTCATCCTTCTTCTCCTTGATAAGACCCATCGCTACTAGGGTGGAGGCCATCGCTTCTAGTAATGAAAACCAAAAAGCTACTAGTAACAAGGGCATCGCTACTAGTAACAAGAAGCTATTAGTAACAATATTGTATTGATCGTTTTGGGCGTGGAGAATAGGCATGCGCAGGAAGGCGCTGTCGGTTTGATGGTGAAAGAAAGAATGAATACTTTTGAATCACACTGACTGTGTCAAGCAAAACTACTCGCACTCCTACGCCGGTCTAGGCGAAAACAAGTATGCTTAAATTGACTGTTGCTTTCATTTTTACCTCTTTTTTGGTAATCTTCAATTTGTTCCTTTTTTGGTTTTGGGGAACGCATCGAGCCATGCAACGTAACGAGGGAGGTGAAGAAGTGGGGCGGGTTGAGGTGACTGTATGCATGTATGATGCATGTATGATGCGTGTATGATGTGTGTATGTGTTTGTTGCCAACCTGAAGAAAAGAATGCCGGCAATGCTTGAGGACCCGGGCAGCATAACTCGCACCCATGTCTCTTGAGACGGCACTTGAAAAACAAAGTGTGCCGCGGGGGTTTAAAGGGTAATGCAATTGAAAGCCGGCCAGGGGCCAAAGGACGCTACTAGGAGCAAAGGGCATCGCTACTAGGAGCAAGGGCCTTACTACTAGGAACAAGAAGCTAGTAGAAACAATAAGTAAATAGACTTTTATTAGAATTAAGTGTAATAAAAAAACATAAAGGGTATATGCACTTGAAAGCCGGCCAGGGGCCAAAGGGGCAAGGAGAAAAATGGAAGCATGGGCTTGGGGTGGAGGTTGTGGCTGCGTTGGCGGTTGGCGTTGTTTTTCTTGCTGCTGCTGTTGCTGTTGCTGTTGCTGCTGCTGCTGGTGGTGATGGTGGTGTTGACAGGTGCCACGCTAGTGGTAACAGGTGCCTTACTGGTAGTAACAAAGAAGCTACTAGGAACAAGTGCCACGCTAGTAGTTCATCTCCAAATCGGCTCTCCGTCAGTCCTTGGGCCGCTTCTTCACTTTGGTCAAAGACACAACCTTGGCCCTTTTGGACCTAGGCTTGCACTGATAGAAACTCAAGATTTATTGGTAGGAAGAGATTCGAAACCAAAAAGAGTTTTCTTCTCAAAGTTTCTACAACCCAGAGTGTTATCAAAGGATATTTGAACTGAAATCCCTAAACTGCAGCAGAATTACACAAGCAAAGTGTCCTTGCACCTGTTGCTCCAAAGTAGTTGAAAGATATGAATATGACCACTCCCTTCATGAATCTGGAACACCTTACTTACTCCAAACGCTTTAGTACGTAAACCTTTGGTTGCCACTTTTGTATTGGCGATGCTTGACCAGCTGAGCTCCTGGCTTGGGCATTGCGGAAAGCACCAGTGTCGCTGCTTGGGCAGGAAAGTTTGCACAAAGGAATGCAGAAGGAACACGACCAGTTGCAAGGTACATATCAGGCCATGACCTAAAAAACAAGATTCCATGTCTCTGTTTTCACCCGGGCTAGCCATGACGGCTCGCGAGCACGTACCGTATGCTCAAAACTTTCATGCTAAGCCCAGTCTCGGTGTTTAAGGTGAAGTTGTTCGTCACTGATCTCTGCGGCTCCTTGGCCAAGTTTGTGCAATGGTGCTGTTGGTGCAATGCTGTTGGGCGTATATGTCTTCTTTCAATCGGGCACTTGGCATCTAGCTTGTGGCGCCTAACGGTTCCCATGAAGTTGGAAGCCAGGGCTAGTAGGTTGGAGGCCATCGCTAGCAGAAACAAAGGTCTAAGACAGATTGCTAGTAGGTTGCTAGCAGCGCCCAAAGTAACCAGGATTGAGCCACAGTTCCTTGCGTTGCTAGTGGCGACTGTTGGGACGATTGGTGCGTCAAGCGTAGTGGGTCTGAGCGAAAGGAAGCGAGCCCAAGGCGGTATAAGGAAATGGCAATGAAAAGGAAGAAAGGCTTAAAGAGACGTTTTTAAAGAGTGATCCCCACCATGACATAGAATACTTGCAAGATAGAGTGCCAGAGTGCATGCCAAATAGAATGTCAGAACAAGTGCCAGATACAATGTCACAACTTATGCCAGTGAAAATGCAAGAATAGATGCCAGATAGAGTGCAAGTCTATATTTGCAAGATGGACACTTCTTTGATGGCAGGACAAATGTCACAATAAATGGCAGAGCACATACCAGGATCAAAGTCGGTCCATATCACAGACCAGACTTGATGCCAAAACAAACGTTTTGTCAGGCTAGTCTGTCAATACATGTGCCGTCTTCCAAATCACCTTTCAAAGTGGGGACCACTCGAAATAGAATCATGGACGGTTGGGAGTGTGTAGCGGAGGCACGGTAGTGCCCACTGCGATCTGGAGCTGGCAGTTGAGGCGAGGAGACAGAGACAGAGGAGGCTCTTTTAGAATCTAACAACCCTCACCTGACAGGTGGGGAACTATGAATCAAGAGAAATGCATAGCGGAAAATAACACATCCTTGGGCGGGTTGGACCGGGAGTTGGTGTCGATCAAAGCTGCCAGGTTGCGATCTTCCAGCTGGTGCAAGCGCTAGTAGTGACAAATGGGTTGTCTGCGTGCTCTGCTGCAAGTCTTGTTGCCACCAAGCCGCATGCCAGTTTTGTTTTCTGTCATTTAACCCAGCTGCTGCCCAGGTGTGTGTCCCCCTAAGAGTTTCTGTTTTTCTCAACTTTTAAGCCGCAGGGGGCTTGACGGTCGATTTCCTAGTCACGCCAACGAAGCTAGGGAAATCGACTGGATGGAAGTTTGGACGCAAACTTCTTTACCTGCGCTGATGAAATTCTTTGCACACGCTGTGACTCCACTTTTCCTTCTGTTGTTTCCATGGTGGTTGTTCGCATGATATCCCCCAAAACAGGTTTCCTTAGCTTTGGTAAAGTGCTAGTGCGTTTGTTAAACAGTTCTGTTCTTCGGACCCTTGCACCTTACCGTTCTTGCAGTAAAGGGCTAATGAAGTAACTAGCTTCCGCAGTCAAGTGTGAAACCACGTTCAAAGCACCTACAAATGCTTGGACTCTTCGCCTTTCTGTTCCACCACCTTTCTTTGACTTGGGAACTGAGTTAACAGCAAACCAATGTCAGAGTGTGTGTGTTCTCTCCAACCCTGTAGACCACAACTCTGCAATCTTGTGAATCATGGCTCGGGCTGCCGTGCTTGCAGCATATGTTTGTTGTGGCCTTTCCTTTGTGCCTTTCTGTGCTTCCTGTGTTGCTCATGCATCTTGATAGGCTGGATTGCTCCCTGCCTCCTAGTTTGGTCCTTTCCTCTTGAGAAAGACGCCCACTTCGACTGTGTCTGCATGACATGGGCAGTGGTCACCCACTGTGTTTCATATCGTCCTAAGAGGAAGGTCTGTAACTCCCCAGGGTCGTCTGAGCAGACATGTAGCATCCATGCTCCTAGTAGCGATGCCCTTTGCTCCTAGTAGCATCCTTGCTCCTAGTAGTAATGCAAGAAAAAGTAACAACAAGCTACTAGTAGCTTCGTGCTTCTAGTAGTAATTCCAGGACCTCCTAGTAGCTTCTTGCTTCTAGTAGTAAGGTGCCCTATTACTATCTGCCTTTTCTTTTCTTGTTATTTAGGCCTCCAACCTAATCATGTCAGACATCTTTGTCTCACTTCTCATGTTGAGACAACATGTGTCACTGCATCTCAACAAGTCCCTCACCCTCCCTCCTTCCCCTCTCCGCACAGGTTTCTCAAACCCTATGAATGCTATGAGCACCGGGGCGCTGCTTCGAACACTTGTTCCTAGTAGCGTCCTTGTTACTACTAGTAAGGCACTTGTTACTAGTAGCATGCGGAAAAGAGTGAAAAGTGAATGGAAGTGTGTGGGTGGGTGAGTGAGAGTCGAAACACGTCAGCAACACCCAAAATGAGCACCCTCACCGCAGCCGTCTGGAAAACAATGTAAAATAGATTCGACACATGGGCATCGCTACTAGGGGCTCCTGGCATCGCTACTAGGAGCAAAGACGCTACTAGGAGCAAAGGCCATCGCTACTAGGAGCAAAGTGCTCAAGACTTGTGATCTTGCAGTAGCCAATGATGCAAATTTCGCAGGCAGAGTCGTGCTTTTTGTCTGTCTGGCTTATTGATCACAGTCGAGATAGCATTGGCTCTTGACGACCTCAGGTGCCATGACGCTCGACGTGACCGCAGTCGCAACCGCGGTCTTGCAACTCGAATGAACCAGAAAAAAGGACCTGATGGCCTTTGTTACCAGTAGCGTCCGATCGCTCCGAGTAGTAAGGCCAGGAGCCCCTAGTAGCGTCTTTGCTCCTAGTAGCGATGCCAGGAGCCCCTAGTAGCTTCTTGTTCCTAGTAGCTTCTTGTTACGACTAGTAAGGCACCTGCTACTAGTAGCGATGCACTTGTTACTGGTAGCGTTCTTGTTCCTAGAGACTCCAAGTGCCACGCGTCGATGAGGCCCAAAAGAGTTTTGCACGCCGCAAGGGCTGCGAGGAAGATGCAAGCTCTCTCTCTCTCTCTCTCCCTATTAGGTTGGAGTCCATCGCTACGCTGGATGAAGGCCATTGCTCTTAGACTCTCTCTCTCTCTCTCTCTCCGTACCCCCATATTGAAGTCAAAATACACAAACTTCACATGAACCATGCCCCAGCCTTTCGCCGGGCCTGAACTGAGATTGACCATCGTCGCAAAACAAAACGAAGGAAGACACCATACCATTAGTAACAAGTGCATCCCTAGTAGCAGGAAGCTGCTAGTAGCCAAGGGCCTTGCTACCAGTAGCAAGAAGCTACTAGTAGCTCCTGGCATTTCTATTAGTAACAAGAAGCTACTAGGGGCTCCTGGCCGTACTACTAGGAGCAAGGACGCTACTAGTAACAAAGGACGCTACTGGGCCCGAAGCTACTAGGTTGGAAGAAAACACCGTTTGCTTGCTGTCTCTTAGCACGGATCACTCGCGGGATGTCGTCCTGCCAGGAGCCCCTAGTAGCTTCTTGTTCCTAATAGCTATGGCCTCCAACCTAGTATTTGTGTATTTTTCTGAACGGCATCTGTATTTGAATCCAAGTGGTCTCCTAAGCAAGTCTTTTCAGGTCTCCTTAGCTAAAAATAAAGGCCATGGGAAGTATTCTGTTCGCAACTGGTGCATTCCAGATCCTAGAAGTTAGGATGGTAAGAGCTCGGAATGCTTTAGCATTCCAACCTCCAGCGACTCCCGCCACAAAACCTACTAGCGATGGCCTCCAACCTAATAGCATTCCCTCGGAAGTTCGAGCGAGGACATTTTATTGAACTTTGATTGCTTCTTAAACTTGTCTTTGGTTGTGCAGAAAAAAGACAACACAAACGCTCTATGTGTGCAATGGCAATGAGTGCAGCAAAAATGTACTCTTGCAAGCTCAAATCTCCTCGAGCAGTCTCGAATGCAGCGGATTGTCGCACAAAGTTTCCGATCTGCATTCTCCTGGAAGGCTCCGAAAAGGAATGAAGGCGGGATGAACTGATCAAATTTGATTTAAATGCAATTTTTAAAAGGGGGGAGACCGCTAGGAGGCAGGAAGTAGCTAGCTAGGTAGCTAGCAGAAGAGGTAGCTAGGAGCTGTAAGCTACTACTTAGGACGCAGGATAGCTCACGCTTCTTCAAGGAAGCTCTTCAGGCGGCGGGGAAGCTCTAATGATTTGGTTCCTAGGTTTTTAGGGAAACTTAACTGCAGCGATGGCCTCCAACCCAACAATCACGGCCTCCAACCTAATAGCGATGGCCTCCCCCAATAGCAATGGCCTCCAACCGAATAGCAATGGCCTCCAGGCCTCCAACCTAATAGCAATGGGGAATGAAGGTGGGAAGATGATGATATTGGACCCCATTTAACACATCTAGGAACAAGAAGCTACTAGGCGCTCCTGGCCTTACTACTAGGAGCAAGGACGCTACTAGGGGCTCCTGGCCTTACTAGGAGCGATCGGACGCTACTAGGAAACACATCATTTCAAATCTTCGTCCTGCTGCATCACACCAGAATAGCAGCGTGTCATGCAGCCTCATAGAGGCAACCGTCGTTGCACTTGTTTCTACTAGCGATGCACTTGTTACTAATAGCTTCTTGTTACTACTAGTATGGCACTTGTTACTACTAGCTTCTTGCTCCTAGTAGCGTGGCACTTGTTACTAGAAGCGATGCACTTGTTACTAGTAGCTTCTTGTTTCTAATAGCTTCAGCCAAGCAGCCGTAAGTTTCGGCCGGATCGCACTTCACCTGTCTCAGGTCACTTGGTGAATCGATGCACTTGTTCCTAGTAGCGTTTTTGCTCCTAGTAGCGATGCCAGGAGCCCCTAGTAGCGTCCTTGTTACTACTAGTAAGGCACTTGTTACTAGTAGCGTGGCACTTGTTCCTAATAGCGAACCTTGTTACTAGTTGCAATGGACTTCAACCTAACAGCGATGGCCTACTAGTAGCTTGCTCACGAGTGGCTAAGACCCTAAGCCATGCTAAGCCGTGAACCAGACCCGGATAACGAATATCCAAAGGAGCTCTGAGGGGAGTGGACACGTCGGACACGTCCTCAAAGAAAAGAGATGAGGCCATCGCTGGTCTCTCTAGATCCGGTTGGAGATAACATACGACTTGTCTTTCAAAATGTTTTCTAGTAGTAACAAGTGCATCGCTAGTAGTAACAAGTGCCTTACTAGTAGTAACAAGTGCATCGCTACTAGTAACAAGGAAGCTAGTAGAAACAAGTGCATCGCACGTCGGGCGGATTCGGTCGAATCCTGTGCTGCTGCCAGGGTGACAAAGGTGACAAAGGTCATCATGCGATGGAGTGTAGTGTCATGGCGAAAAATAGAAAAAAGTTATTCCCAGTGGCAGCCAGTCCGGTTCCAGACATTGTTGCAAAAATGTGTTCCATCAATACTAGAGTACTCCCATTATGCCCTCATCAATTCAGGCACTTAGCAAAAGGTTCGCGGTCTCAGTCTTGCAACGAATACAATATTGAAAGGAGTGCCTTTAAGAAGCTTTCAAAGGCCGTATATTTTCCTTGCATACCTTAGAAGAAGTTATGTCTGGCATGTGTTGAAAAGGAAGGTTCGAAGAAGAGCTCTTTATGCTCTATACTACAATATACTATAATAAACGCATCATATGTTCTTTTTTAGCTTCTTGTTACTACTAGTAAGGCACCTGTTACTAGTAGCGATGCACTTGTTCCTAGTAGCGAGGCACTCGAAATGGCAAGATGCCAGAATTCGGAGCGTTCGTTCGACATCACTGCCCACCAAGTCTGTCTAGAACCAGTTACAGATCTAGCGGGGGTTCGGGAGCAAGTGGAATTAGCAGTAAGAATGCTACTAGTAGCGATGCCAGGAGCCTCTAATAGCGTTCTTGCTCCTAGTAGTAAGGCCAGGAGATTCTAGTAGCTTCTTGTTCCTAGTTAAATCTAAATGCAGTAAACATGAAACTCATCTCAGTCTCGATGCAAATCTCCGCTTCTCGATGAAATTGAGCAACTATGTTTGATTGAGTTTCTGACCAAAGCCGTTCCAGGTTCTGCTGTTGATCAGTCAAAGGTCTGGCACAACAAGTGTTGTGTTTTTGAGGTATTCACTAACAAGTTGTCATTGTCTGGCTTCCACAACTGCTCGTGTTGCGTGGTACGCAGCTTCAATCTTTCGTCGCAATAACTACCTCTTCAATTTTTCAATCCGCGAGATGGTTCTGTTTAACAGAACTGGGTGAAACAGAACGCCAAAGCGACCTGGCCACCGGTCCAAACGGAACGGTCCATCAGTCCATCTCACCTGTTACTACTAGCGTGGCACTTGTTACTAGTAGCGATGCACTTGCTTCTACTAGCTTCCTTGTTACTACTAGTAAGGCACCTGTTACTACTAGTAAGGCACCTGTTACTACTAGTAAGGCACCTGTTACTACTAGCGTGGCACTTGTTACTAGTAGGCGCCTGCTTAGCTCCTCAAAAGTAGGGACGACCTACTTAATTAGGGGAGTAAGCTCCGGGCAAAACCTGCGCGCTCCTAGCTACCGAGACGCTACTAGTAATGGACGCAGGATAGCTCACACTTCTTCAAGGAAGCGCTCGTACTAATGATTTGGTTCCTAGATGTTGAGGGAACCTTTGCTCCTAGTAGCGTTCTAGCTCCTAGTAGTAAGGCCAGGAGCCCCTAGTAGCGTCCTTGCTCCTGGTAGCGATGCCCTTTGCTCCTAGTAGCTTCTCAATAATATGTCGGCTTTGGATCCTAGCATTTTTGCAACAAAAAACAAAAAACTAACCAAAGGCAACTCCATGTTCGAGTGGATCATTGCCAAGATCAAACGGAGTAGCCTGGTTCTGATTCTATTGAAATAAAGTCAGTTCTGACAACAGCAAGCAATTTCTTCAAGAAAACACGTGTCAGCACTTGGTGCCTTTCAATCTTCTTTGCCCTGCACCAAGTGCTCGGGGGGTTTACCAGGACACCGCCTCAGTCAGGAGTTTGGGTATCCACTTCGGGCTGTGCGGTATGCAAAATTGCGGTGTGCAATGTGCGATAGGCAATGTGCGGTATGCTTATGTGAGGTAGCGATACCCTTGTCTTGTTACTAGTAGCAACGCCCTTGCTATTAATAGCTTCTTGCTACTAGTAGCGATGCACCTGTTACTAGTAGCGATGCCTTTGTTACTAGAGTGATATGTGTTGCATGGTTTCCAGGAATCTCATGGAATCTCCTGGATGCATAGATTGCGGTTCCATCCCTCCTGGAAGGACTTATTCGAGGATGGCCTCCAATTTACTAGCAATGGCCTCCAACCCTCTAGGGATGGCCTCCAACCTATGGCCTCCAACCTTCTCCAACCTACTAGCGATGGCCTCCAACCTACCAACGGGCTGGCGTCCAGCCTACTAGGAGTGGCCTCCAACCTAGTATTCATGGGTTCTATTTGTTTTTTTCCCGTAACTCGGCATTTCGATCAATGCTCTGTCCCTCCTGTTGGGTTCGCGGATTGCTCTCTTCAGTTGTTTGGGCTTTTCCAATCCGCGCGAAGAACTCCCCGTCAAGGGTGTGCGGTTTAAATGACTCGAAGAAATCTATGCGTTCCGTTGAAGTTTCAGCCCGACTCAGAAACTGAGGCTCCGTCAGCAGCCCTGACCCAGGTTTGAATCTTTGAACAAGGTCTGCCTCACAGCAAAGTGATCTTAAAAGGTTTCTCTTTGGTTCTTTTTGGATCCTTTTTCTTTCTAGGTTCGAGGCTATCGCTATTAGGTTGGAGGCCATCGCTTTTTCGAGCCTTTTTCTTTGGCAAGATTCGACAAATTTGCTTTGCACTGCCCTTTGCTAGGCTCTCTCTGGCTGAGTTCCTGAGTTCCAGGCACTCTTCGGGGTTTGCCTTAGCCAAATAAATGATCAATGAACTAATATTTCAAGCATCATTCTCAAATCCCAAAACAACAAGTGAATACGAAACCTTTTTAGCAACTAGCATGGGCCATAGCATGATGGCTTACTCAAAATAGTTGCACTCGTTGTAAATGGGTTCTCACGTCTACCTTCGCACACCTTAACCCCTTTGGAAGCACTCTTGTCAGCCAAAATCCACAGAAGAAAACAAAGGTTCCAACGAATCCAAATGCCTGTGCCAAAGGCTGGTGATGGCCTCCAACCCAATAGAAAGCCTCCAAATGCTGCATAGGTGCCAATTGTCATTCCATTGTTCACGTTGACCCGTGGAAGGATTGCGCATCCTTGCTCGTCCATTTGTTCACTCCACATCACTCAATCTTCGGAAAGTGAAGAAAGCAAACACGATAAGGCACCTGTTACTACTAGCGTGGCACCTGTTACTACTAGTAAGGCACTTGTTTCTAGTAGCTTCTTGTTACTACTACTTTCTTTTGCTCAGCGTAGCACTTATGCAATTCTGTGCAAGGTACCTTACTATTAGGTTTCCCTAAAAATCTAGGAACCAAATCATTAGTGCGAGCGCTTCTTCAAGGAAACTTCCCCGCCACCCTAAGAGCTTCCTTGAAGAAGCATGAACTATCCTGCGTCCAGTTAGGGGTAGTTACTTGTTAGCTACTAGCTACCTAGCTTCCACTAGCCACTACTAGGTACTACCTCCACTAGGGGCCTGCCCCCCGAAAACAAACAAACAAACACAAACATTGCAAAAAAAACCTGCATAAATAGAAGACAAAAACATGTTTTGCTTCTCGGCTTTCATAGCAACCAGCAAGTCATTCCGCTTTCGACCCTTGTGGAGACAACGTCTTGTAACGAAAACAAATTGTATGCGACAAAAGCATCCAAAGATCCAAAGCAGCAAACACAACCTGTTACTACTAGCGTGGCACTTGTTTCTAGTAGCTTCTTGTTTCTAGCAAAGCAAAAAACGGCTGAACCTGTTTGGCCTAAAAATGCGTTTCTGACCGGAGGCGCCTTCCAGTGGGCACATGGCGCTCTGGCAGAAGTGGAGGGAGCTCTGCCGTCAGGAGACTTTGGGGCCTAAAAACAGGAGCGATGCCAGGAGCCCCTAGTAGCGTTCTTGCTCCTAGTAGTAAGGCCAGGAGCCCCTAGTAGCTTTCTTGCTCCTAGTAGTAAGGCCAGGAGCCCCTAGTAGAGTTCTTGCTCCTGAGCCTCTAGTAGCTTCTTGCGCCTAGTAGTAAGGCCGGGAGCCCCTAGTAGCGTCCTTGCTTCTAGCAGCAATGCCCTTTGCTCCTAGTAGTTGCTCACACATCACTAGCCAAAGTTAAAGTGCACTTCGACCGCACGCTCGTGCAAAATGTGTGGCTTGGAAAGGTGTGAAGCCTTATGTTGGTAAGCGAAAGCCCAAAGGTAAGTGGCCCTTTTGCGCGAAAGCCAGACGCAGAAAACAAAGCCAAGGCAGACTTCAGTCGCAGGAATCTGGTTTCAGACAGCAGTGTGTAGCAGCGTCATGAACGATCAAACATGCTATTGGTCAAAACCTCATGTGGCCTGGAAGTGTGGCCCTAGTAGCTTCTTTGTTTCTACGTTCGCTTCTTGTTACTACTAGTAAGGCACTTGTTACTAGTAGCGATGCAC